CTTTTCCGCTACCTTGGACATGTGTGCATTCCACGAGCAGTCTTTTGCGATCTCTAATCCGATATATGTGTATTAGTCCACTACTGCAATCTCCTCGATCCCCCACTTCCATCTATGTTCAACTGGTTCCTCCTCGTTCTCGTTGCATACCATGACGGCACTCTTCTCAACGTTGGCAGACAATCTCCACTTATCAGAAAACTTCTTCGCCGCGTTAATTTGCAGTTGCAGTCCCCTCAGGGGTGTCCGACATTCGGACAAAATCATCCGCAAACAGCATTCCTGACACCGACGTTTCCGTGTCCCCTACTTCTACTCCNATGTTGGGGACAGCGTGCAACCTTGTGGGACCCCCTGCTCAATGTCGAAGAATTTTGACAGTTATCCGTCTAGCATGACCGCGCTTTTCGTGCCCTGTCATGTTCTTCAGCACTCTCCGCATTTTCCCCTTGATCCCGTATTTGGACAGTCATTTCCATAGCCCATTTCTCCATACGGTGCCGTTTGCCTTTTTCACGTCCAGGAAGAAGCAGTACGTCGGCTTTCCCGCCCTCTTTCTACCTTGGATGATTCTCCCTACCGTGAACACGTGGTCTACGCACCCCCTCTTCTTGCGGAAACCTGCCTGGCCCTCACTAATGCTATGTTCCTTCTCCAATACTCCCACTATCCTATCGTTCAGCAGCTTACAGAACACTTTTCCTACTGTGTTCAACAGTGTGATCCCCCTGTAGTTTCCTGGGTCAGTCTTGTCTCCTTTCTTAAACAAGTTCACAACCACTCCTTCCCTCCATCTACTTGGCGTATACTCGTTTTTCCACACCCAATTGTACAGCAGTACCATCAGCTGGATCATCCCCTTCCCCCCAAACTTCATGAACTCGTTGACTATCCCATCCGCTCCTGCTGCTTTGTGGCACTTCAGCTTGTTCACACACGCCTCAACCTCGTCCTCAGTGAACTCCTTTTCTAGTTCTACGTTCCCAACGTCTGCCTTCGATGTCTCTTCTTCTTTTTGGGCCCATGCGTCCACCTCCTTCTTAAACACTTGGTCAAAAGCTTCATTCTCCGAGGGCACTCCAAGTCTCTTGTAGTGTCCTGCTAGAACTTCCCTTTTTCCCTTCCCACTTCTGACCAGTCCACCGTTCACACCTCGCGCAGTTGCTACCGCTGTATCCCCCTTTTGCGCGGTCTTTTTCACCATTCCACTTATCCCTTCTCCCCCTCACGCCCCGTCCGGTGTTTGCCATCGGGATTGGGTTTTCGTCGCTTGGCACCGACGTTGTAAAACAAGCCAATTCACTTCGTGAACTCGGCAACCTTTTTTTTTGGCGGTAACCATATTGGTGGTCGAGTGGATCAC